ATAGCTTGGGTACTGCCCCCACCCAGTAACAGTCTATATTAGGGGTCCTATTGAGGGCTATATTTAACCACATTATAGTTATTATCCAACTGTTACTGAGGGGGGGCAGTACCCAAACTATAGCTCATATAGTGGTTAGTGTCTTCGAGTCTGGCCTGCAGAGGCCAGCTGGCCGGCTCGACGGATGGTCGACTGCAGAAAAAAACTTGAAGATGCTTACATGAGCCAGGGGTTCCATAGGGGAGTATATGGGGGCTTCCCAAAATTAGGGGTACCATTTTGGGGATCCAAATAACAAGGATTATAGTATATTGGGGTCTATATTGGGGTCCCCCTGTTTAGGGAAACTACCATATAGGGGAGTATTGTAGGGGTTATTGATTTGAAAACCTCGAACCCCAAAGCTGAAAGCCCTGGCCTTAGCATCTGCCCAGGCTGCAAATAGCCGGCCCCAATGGCCATGGCTGACATGTTGCTACTTGTAGTGAATGAAATGACCCTGAATCCTAAACCCCTAAACCCTAAACCCCCCTTGAAGGCGCGCGTAGGGTTACAACCGCCTTTCTGGAAAGTTGCCGCATCCCTGGAGGGGTAGCCAGAAGTGTAGGTGTTACATGATGGACTAGGTATGAATATAGATGTGTGCATCTATCTGAACTTCTAATGCTCTTTGTCTCTGACTCTTTGAGAAGTGCACAGAACATCACTGAACAAGCTGGTGGCAAAATACACAACCACGACATCTGAACATGTGGCTGTGGTCCGCACAACTCTCACGTTGGGCTCGGTATCCAGTCTTGGCAGGGTTGCCATCCAGGAGAAGACATGTGCATGTTGACAGGTGAGTTGTCTGGGAGGCAGACGTGAAAGTCCTTCTTCTTGGGCAGGATCGGTCCTTTAGACGCGACTCTCGCAACCGCTCTCCATACAGGTCCCACCAGGACAGGCGAAGCCTCTACAGAATTCTTCTTCCCTTCCTCCAATTTGGCAATGTTAACGATGTAGCACTCCTCTGCTGCTGCGTCCAAGTCTGCTGCAATCCGCCGCACGAATCGTGGCAGAGCTGATTCCCAATCTGGGGCTTGCTCCTCTGCAGCCATGTTGAGCTCTGCAGGGCGGACCTCCACGCTACAGACGAAGACATCTCCGACTCTAAACTGGCAGTAGAACGCTTGGCGGCGCGCAAGGCGCTTTGTTGCTACATTGAAGAAGCAGTTGACGCCATACCTCCCACAAATAGGCATGACCTTTAAATGTCACTACTCCCAAGCTGATTGTCAAGCCCCAGGCTTAACACCACTACTTGGTGGCCGCCCAGCATGGACCATGCGGCTATCCTTGCCATTTATACTGTGACCGCCGCTTGTCTGTCTGTGATGACATCTGTTTGCTTCTGTCTCTGCCTCCGCACCATCGGCCTGAGCATTAGGCCACATCACAGCGCAGCCTCATCCAAAGGGGAGACGTGAACTGACTACATGTGCAGAAGCAGATGCTATGACTTCTAATGTGCGACTGAGCCAATGCGGCGTTTGAAGCACACTCTGTTCGTGCCTGTGCGTGGAACAAAGCTGAAGCCCAAGTGCGGGAAGTGGGTGTCTCCCTCACAGTGACTTGGACAGGTCGTCTATGGATTTGAGCGCTTGATGCTTAGTGCCGTGCCCCTGAGGCATCCGGAAGCTCGTTCAGGTACAAGAATACCGTGATCGGACGGAACTTTCCATCCTGTGACGGACTACGCCCTACCAGAAAACGAACACCATATGCACAAAGAGGCTTCAAGCACGAAAGCTTGGGCTCCGACATGGTGGAGCGTGAACTGCTGTCCTGGCCTCAGATACTATGTCTCCGCAGTCTAGGCCTGCGCTCCCACTACATGCCAACCCTGAATTAAAGCTTTCAGAAGGAATACCACAAATTTGGTGATGATGCGTCGACCCCTGGCATGCGAAATCTGATGAAGGTAGTCCGGACAATAGCTGGGCAGGCTGAGAATAAAGCTCGTACCGCAGAACAACCAACCGCTCGAGCGTCTCGATCGGCAGTTTGGCCAGCCTGGCAGATTGCTTGGATGTTGAGGAGATTTCTTCTACGGCGCAGAGACCTGTATGACCATGGACTTTATTCTGTCATTTTCAGATTTCAGAACATCAAGGATTTCAGCGATGGTTGCGCGACTTGGGGTGTTGAATAGATGTTTCCTGACGGGTGGGGTCCCGTCTTCCGTTGTCGTATTCTTTGGGCGCATTCCCGGAACAGAGCACTGTGCGAACCTGAGTCAGTGGTCGTACCATCTGCATAATCAAACATTTTGCGCAAGTCAAACAGCAAAAGGACATGACTCCAAGCCCCAAACTGCGCGAGTCGGTGCTCAATGCGTTGGACAATTGCAGTCTGCGCAGGGCCTAAGTGCAAGAATAGGATGGCTGCCCCAGGAGATGCAGAAACTCAATAATAGTAACAGCAGCAATAACAACAAAACTAGTGACAATAACAATTATCAATAATAATCGCAATAGTGGTAATTAATCAGAATCACAATGGTAGGATGCAGACGCAACGGGCAAGAGCTGGATGTCCGGGTCCTTAGAGGCATCCAAAAAAATGAGCCCAGCCCTGACAAGCACCCCACAGAACAGCCATGGTTTGCAGTTGCTAAAACATGGACGCCTAGTGGTGCACAATACATCAAGTATGAAGCATGACCTGCTTTCATAAACGAACATCGAAAACATGCCGGCAGCATCGTACCGTTCAGGCCAACTTTCCTGGGTCAAGTTGCTGAGCCGTTGCAGACTCCACAGTTTCCGCCACGGCGTCTGAGTATTGGCCAACCTTTGCAAAAGTCGTGCGGCCGCTTGAGTCGACTTCTGTGCGGTAACTCTTGCGGGAGGAACAACCACCAAGTAAAGTATCCGATGACACAGCATACAGAACCGCCAGAAGAATCAGCACAGGAAAACCTGCATAAACATGTGGAAACCCGAAACCCTAAACCTCAAAAGGCTTACTAAACTAACTTTCAGAATAGAAAAGACATCCCCAACGATTGGTCATGCCAAGCAGCCAGAGACCGGATCCAACCGCCCTGCGCGAGGTCACAAAGATGCTGGCACCTAAGGCAATGAACAGGTCAAGGTAGGTTCCACCGCCAAATGTGAATTATCATTAGTGTGTCTAATATTATTACTATAAAAATTACTGCTGCTACTACTACTACTGCTGATGGGACTCAGTCTCCTTACTATTGCTACTATTCCACTTGTTACTACTATTACGGCTATTTCTACCATTTCCATTACTACTATTTGTATTACTGTGCTATGATCCCTGCATTTCAAAGCTGACGGGTTGTAGTCAAACAGGAAATCTGCTCATCCGTTAGGAAAAGCATTGGCTGGCGAGCTGAGTCCTCAACGAGTTCTCATCTGCGCATGTTTCACGCTTCTGAAGTCCGTTTGTAGGGTCTAGGGCCTAGGGCTTAGGGTTTAGGGCCTTGCCTACCGAGCTGTACTGGCAAAACCCATTTTTTGTGCACGCTCTCATGTCTTGACAACTTTCACGCCATGCTTGCGACAGCGGTCCATCGCCATGGCAACCTGGACAAAACCCACATTTAATTTGCTGCAGCAGTACAAGTAATAGTAGTAGCAGCAGCAGCA